CCCCAAAACCCCAAAACCCCAAAACCCCAAAACCCCAAAATCATCATAAGCTGTTGAAATTACTTTATTTAATAAAAATGAAATTTATTTGGTATTTCAGCCCAGACCAGAACACCCAAAAATCCCCCAAAAATCCAAGTAAGAGCCCTCCAAATAATTTCAATGAACTCCCTACAGCAGGGCGGGTTGGAGGATCCCAGGTGTTAAGGCTCTGGGATTTCCCCCAGAAAAGAACGCAAGTGGGAATTTAGAAGAGATGGTAGTGGAGGGTTAGAATAGAATGGGTGGTAATAGAGGGGGTGTACGATAGGTTTAGGCTGGGGTTGGGAGTATGGGGCTAAGTGGGTGCAGGGTTCGGAAAGTGTTTTGAGGGGTGGAAGGTTGGGAATTTGTAATTGACGGAAATAGTACTCTCCAGCCACTCTCACAGCCTAAGCTCAATTCTCCTATGACTGTGGTAAGTTTTCCAAATTCCTTAAAAAGTCCTACTTTTCAAAACTCACAAAAATATTATAAGAAGCTTTATCCAAAATCCCTAACTGGGCTACTCTGTTCATGACCCCAAAGAACAACACGCAGGGTATGAGGTTCTTTGGGTAAGAATTTTGGATAGTGGGCGGAAAGGAGTTTTCGATTTTAGTGGAAAATTTGTTAAGGCTTATAGTATACTTGGCCAGATTATAATGGGATGACCAGCAGGGGAATATGATAACTCAGGAACTTGAGATCCTTGTGTAGCAGGTAGTCTTCTTTGTTATATAAATAGGCTATTATTGTCCCGGAGATGATACTATGAGCCAATGAGCTGCTGGTAGGTTTTTGTATAAAAATTAGGAAAATCAAGTTCTTCAGGAGAAAGTGCATGAACCCCATGAAATACAGGATTCACTAATTCTGAAGACTTTACAGTTTGAAACCCTATTTGAGGAGATGGTAAGAAAGTGGCAGGGGAGGTTTGTGATGATGGAGATGTGAGCAATGATAGCAAATGAAATAGCTCCTGCTCAGGGAATGTGAATGGGTGGTATTGTAGTGGTGGTGGCATCAGTGCTCAATCAGTGTGAACTGAATTATGTGGAGATGGATATACAACAACTAGCGAACAATGTGATGATGGGAATCCAAATTCTTATGATGGATGATCTGATCAATGTCAAATTGAAACAGGATATGCATGAGTAGCTACAGGAACAAATTCAGCTTCATCTTGATCTCCTGTTTGTGGAGATGACAAAGTTGTTGGTTCTGAATTTTGTGATGACGGAGGAACTGATGATACAAGTAGATGAAATAGTTCCTGTACAGGAAATGTTAATGGATGGCATTGCACAGGAGGGAATACTAGTGCTCCTTCAACATGCTCTGAACAATGAAATGATGGATTTATTACTCCAAGCGAAGACTGAGAAGACGGTAACAAATCCGATAATGACGGCTGCTCATCAACCTGCCAATTCGAACCAGGATATAACTGAACCCTCACTGGAGGAACTCCTCCATCCTCCTGTTCCCCAATCTGAGGTGATGGAAGAGTAGTCACTCCTGAGGCCTGAGATGACGGAGGGACTAGTAACGACAGTCAGTGTAATCAAGACTGTAGTGGGAATGTTAATGGCTGGACTTGTACAGGAGGAGATGTTAACAATCCTTCCATCTGAGTCACTACTTGTAACGACGGTTTTATTGCAGGAAGTGAAGAATGAGAAGATGGCAATTTGGTGAATGGAGATGGATGTGATTTGAACTGTAAGTTGGAAGATGGGTTCATTTGAGAGAATAATGAGGAATTAACTTCTTCGGTGTGTAGTAATATTTGTGGAGATGGACTTAGAGTTCAAGGAGAAGCTTGAGATGATGGAGATACTGAGGATGAAAGAGGATGATTGCCGGATTGTTCTGGAGAAATTAATGGATGGCATTGATCTGGAGGAACAATAATGAGTGCGGATATTTGAGTTGAGCAGTGAAGTGATGAATATATTACTGTGAGTGAGCAATGAGAAGACTCTAATTTGGTTGATGGAGATGGATGAAGCTCGTCGTGATTAGTTGAAACATATTGGAGTTGAGACACTTCAGGTAAGGCTTAAGTAATTGGTATAGTTTACCCAAATGTTTGAAAGCCAATATGAGGTGATGGAGTTACTATCTCAACTGATGAGGAATGTGATGATGGTAATCAGTTTTATGGAGATGGATGAGATTCAAGTTGCAGCCTTGAAATTGGCTGGACATGATTTGACGATGATTCTAATTTCACAACTGCACAGAAATGAGAGAAAAAGTGAGGGAATGGTAAAAGACCTATCGCAGAACAAATAGATGAAGATTGAGATGATGGAAACACTTTTGGCTTTGATGGCTGTGATCACGATTGTAAACTTGAGCTAGGATATGTTTGAACAGGAGGCTCAGCCACCACCCCAGATATTTGAGTTGAAAATGTGTTCCGGCCTTCAGCAAACATCACTTTGACTCAAGATAATAATGCTGTGATCAAGTTCAATGACACAATTCAGAGATTTACCATTGGCTCTGATGACTTGTATATTCAGATTTATGGATCTCAAAGTTCATACAATTACACTTGGACAGCTGAGTTTGTAGATAACACTACTGTGAATGTAAACATGAACATTATATCAGAGATCACTGGCAATGGAGAAGATATATACTTTGAATTTCCTTTGACAAATAACTTTAAAAGCTTGGTTTCACAAAGAACAGTAAACCCCGACCAATATTTATATTTTTAGTCTAAATAAAAACCAGAATAGCCATTCTTCAAGCTTTCTAGGTCAGTCCTCATCATATTTGTTCCTGGCTTCGGTGCTCCTTGCAGCTATTTCATCCTTCGGTGGATACTCCATCGAAATGATGTGGAAGTTCACTAACTCAATTCAGATTCTGTTCTTCATGAGTTACATCAATGTCGATTTCCCAGCTAATCTTGAAGAACTTTTTCAGTATTTAGGGATCAGCAATGCAGAAAATATTTATTTCAAGAAGCTCTGATTCATGATGTTTTCAGAAAGAAGCTTTAATGATCATGCTATTAACAGTAAAATAGAATCATCATCGTTCTTTTTGCTAAATGCAGATAAAATGATCTGGATTATCCCAGTGACCATCCTGTTTTTTGTGATTAAAACAGTCGACTTGGTCATACTTCTCTGGAAGCCATGATTGCTGAATCTTTTCAATAAACTGGTTTCATTCACCAAATACAACTTCTACATCAGGCTTTGGCTAGAATGCTGAATTGAAATCTTATTCAGTAGCTTCATCAACATCCTGCTCATCAACTTGGTAAGTTATGATCAAAACTAAACCTTCACACTCAAAACTTAAATAATCCTGCAAATTTAGGATAATTTAAAAGCAGAATCTGATTCATATTATGATTATGTATCGTATTCACTGGGTGTTCTGTATCTTGGGATTTTTTTAGTGGTGATGGCTTATGTAGTGTTTTGGGTGGTACTGAATGCAGAATTGATTCTGGAAGATTCTCCCAAGACAAAATAACTTCTCTTGTATATATTCAGAATGAGATTTGAAAAAGCCTCTTTCGATTTATTTGTATATTGTATTTGCAGTAAGACGTCTTCTGTTATGCCTTACCACAGTCTTGTTCTACAAGTGTTGAAGAGTGCAGCTGGTAGCTTCAATATCTCTCTGCTTGCTAGTTATTTTTTATTTTTACAAGGTAAAACCTTATAAATCACAGCTGATAAATTGGATGACTCTCTTTGACGAAATTTTGATTCTTCTATGCTACTCTTTCACTTTCTATTTTAGTGAAATCTATGACGATAAGAACTCAAACCCTAGGAAGCATAATACTGAAGCAGGATGGATTGTTGTTGGCATCCTTGGGGTCTTCTTTATTGGAAATTTAGGCTATTTGATCCCTGTGAAGTTTTATGAGGTTTTCCTGATTCTTAAGGAAAGTGTTCATGGTAAGTTCTCCTTTACTATCTATTGCATTTTATCGGATTTTAGCATACAAAGATTGAAGAAAACTCAAGAGACTTCAGAGGAAGGCAAGAAATGCCAGAGGAGTTTACCCTAAGCATAAAGGTGACCCTGATAGTTTATTTTGTAGATGTCCAGCCTAGATCAGCTTTAAGGTCAGATTTGTCAAACAATATGCTAAGGAGTACTTCAAATGTAGACAGAGATGAAGGTAAAATTATTGGAGAGTTGATGGATGCGATTATTATTTAGAAACCAAAAATGAAACCAAAATAAAGAAAGGTAATAATTCTCGCTAATGATTAGAGGTCATTAGAAAATTTGAAAATCTTCAGCAAGTTTATAAACCATTTCGAAAATATTATCCAAACAATAACCTATCAAAACAAATCCAAAAATCTGACTTCAGTAAAGTCTTAGATTAAACTTCTCCTAAACCTATTTATACTTAAAAAGAACAGAATTCAAAACCAAACCCAACCCCACTATCATATCCCTCCTAAAACCCCTTCTAACCCAAATTCTACCCTCCTCCCTTCCCCCAATCCCCAAAATCCTCCAATTCCACTTCCAACCCCTAAAACTCCATTAAAACCTCTAATCTCTATCCTTCACTCCCCACCACCCTACCCTCTAAACATTCCTCACTTCCTTCACCCAAACCCACGGCTTAGCCCATCAAAATACAATTCATCATATTTCTTCTGTTCTACCTGTTATTATACCCAAAAATCAATCAACATTCCAACCACCCACTGGGGTTTTGGGGTTTTGGGGTTTTGGGG